AACTTTTTTTTATTTTTTTTTATTCCTTCATTCTTATTTATGTACATGTAAATGTAAATATAAATATGTACATGTAAATGTAATGCAATTAATAATATAAATAAAATTTACGTACACAAACTTGGTACCCGGTCGAAAAACCGGGTAACCAAAAAACGAAATATACGAATATACAACATCATTAGAAAACGTGTAAGATTTGTTTTGAATTTACAAAAATGTAACTTCCTTCAAAATTGAGCTCTTTTCTTCCTCTATCATCATGGTCATATTTCCATTGGTAATGAAGGGGAAGGGGGTGCGATCGCACCATCACACCCTCTCCTGGCTACGCCAATGACATTGTAAGACGATTTGAATAATAAGACAAATCAATTTTACTCTATTTTCAATGAGTTCGTATGTTGGTACGTGAACATAACCAATGAAAATATGGTCATGACGATAGAGGAAGAAAAGAGCCTTAAAATATGCTTTTTATTTGAAGCTTCTAGCTCAATTTTGAAGGATGTTACATACATTTTTGTAAATTCAAAACAAATCTTACACGTTTTCTGATAATCTAATTATGTTATACTCGTATATTCGTATTTTTCATTTTTTGGGTACCCGTTTTTTGACCGGGTACCGGGTACCAAGTTTGAACCCAGCATGGAGGATTTACTACCCGGTACCCGGTTTTTTCTACAAACCCTTTCTAGATATCAGCGTCCATTTATTGTAACTCGCGTTTGCTAACATTTGCTCAGTTCTGAGATGAAGGCCACACGGATAGTAAAAAGGCCAACGTTGGAACTATTTGTGACCTACATCCCTATTGTCGTAATTAAAATGAAAGTTGAACCCTTCCTCTTTATTTTGATACCAAACAACAGCATGCTAGGTACTTAAAATTAGGTAAACTTTACTCCTCAAAAGTGCAAAAACTTAGCTTCTTATATAAGATAAGATAATCACCATATAGGGGATTGCAACAATTTCGGAAATTCGCGGAGGTCGAAAGCCACATTTGCGGGACTTCGCGGGACATTGCAGGACACGCGAATTAGCCTAATTTTGATCGAATTCGCGGGATAATCCCGCCATTCGCGGGACACTTGACAGCTCTGTTTTTAGTAATATTTGGTTAGAGCTAATAATTTCTGCAAATTTTAAGACTAAGAAAAATGTATGGTACCAACATAAATTTTAGACCTTCCTCTACAACATGTGAAAATATGAAAGAATACCTGCAAGTAATAAGGAAAATATGGCCCGTTGCAGGGGTTCACTTTTTTGGACCACCCTGTATATTCCTACATACTTTTTCACTTGTAGAGGACCTATCAACATTACTATTTATTTATTATTTAAAATATTAGATTTTGATATTTTTGAAGTTTACAACAGATTATCTACTTATGGATCAATTTTTGGAAAGGTTATTAGCATGATATTTTGATTTTATCTGTTTATATTATATTTTGCATTTAAAATGATTGAAAATAATTGTTCCATTTAGTTCACTTTCTTTTAACATCATCTTGTTTTAAATTGTATAAAATATTCAATGTATTTATAATAGTCTTACTTATTTAGTGTCTGTTTATATTGATACTAACACTATTGTAATATTGAAATCAGATAAGTGATAAAAATCCCCAAGTGGAGGCCAATGTCCCTCCCCCCCCCCCCCCCCATTTGTGACATGGCGTTATACAAATTAGGTTGAAGACATCAGGATGAAACCTGTTTTCATGATTTATACACCTTAATGATGTAATTTGATCGGAATAATGTACTAGCTTTTCATCTAAGACCTATCAGGGAAAATATTTAATTTTCGTAAAATAGACCCCTGAAAATGTAGTTCTGTGCTTCTGTGCATGTATGGTGTCCAGAAATTTACAAATAAATTAACAAAAGCAAATTAAAATCGTCAGGCTGTGACAATAAGCTTTAAAAAATGATATAGTGTTTGATGATTTATACCTCCACTGTGAACTTGGATTTGATTTTGATCTAATTTTTTAGTTGAAAATTTAAAAAATGCTTTTGATATATACTCCTCAAAAAAAGTTAAGGATCTCTTGGTTTACATGTTAATCCCCATATTTGTTTAACGACTGTTTTCTAAGCGGGGAACAAAAGAAATCCAAATAAAGAAAATAAATCTGTATCTTGATTCTATTCCCTATAAAGTCCGCAACGCTTCAATGTTATATCTCCATTACATTGGGTCAAAATTTGATGTCAAAATTGATGAATTTCATGAAATGAAACAAAAATGGCAGATCCCATGCTAAACAAATGGGGAATGGTGGCTTAGGGGCAACTCAGATTTTGGAATATCTATTCAGCAAAACATTTATTAAAAATACTTTCTAAGTAGAAAATTGAATGATTTTACATTTTACACGCTAAATGTCTCGCTTATGTTGTTAAAATTAGCGATACGGAGCGTTAAAGTAATTTCGACCATCTCACACCTGTGTTATTTCAATGAGAGGTTCATTAAAAAATTATTGAATTTGAAACCATTAACTTTTGTAAAGCCTGGACAATTAAATCATATTTTTGTCGAGTACACAATTTAGCAAATTTAATTATCTCTTACAATCTCAATTTTGAGAGCAATCGGATGGATGGATCGTTCCTCATATGACTTATGGCAACCCAACCATTCCCCATTTGTTTAACGTGGGATCTGCCATTTTTGTTAAATTTCATGAAATTCATCAATTTTGACATCAAATTTTGACCCAATATAATGGAGATATAACATTGAAACATTGCGGACTTTATAGTGAATAGAATCAAGATACAGATTTATTTTCTTTATTGGGATTTCTTTTGTTGACCCCGCTTAGAAAACAGTCGTTAAACAAATATGGGGATTAACATGTAAACCTATGAGGTCCTTAACTTTTTTTGAGGAGTATATTATAATTCATACTTTTTGTACTTATTATCCCATTGAACGAAGTTCGGAGGGATATAGGGAATGCCTCCGTCCGTCCGTCCGTCCGTACGTACGTACGTCCGTACGTACGTACGTACGTACGTACGTACGTCTGTCCATCCGGGGGATAACTCAAATACCGTTGGCCCGATTTTGTTCATATTTTGTACACATATACCCTATGGGGGTAGAAGTTCTGCTCGAAAGCCGAGTTTCAAAATGGCCGCTCGTTTCAAAATGGCGGCCATTTTAGTGCCGAATTTACAGTAATTTAGGTGCAATATGTAAAACTGTAATAGCAATATGTTTTAGATGTAAAAAAATTATATAGGACATTAATAAAGCTAGAAATATAGATATAAAAGAAGCACATGGCAGCCATCTTGAAAAATGGCAGCCTTTACTCGTTATTTTACGATTTTTGCTGTAACTCGAAAAGTAGTGGATCGATTTTGTTCATATTTGGTATGTGAATACTATAAACATTGCACACTGTCTAAAGACACTTTTGGTAGAAGGTGGCCATTTTAAAAAATGGCCGCCATTTTGAAAAATGGCCGCCATTTTAACCTATTTTACTATAACTCGAAAAGTAGTGGAGCGATTTTGTTCATATTTGGTATGTGAATACTATAAGGATGGCACACTGTCTAATGACACTTTTGGTAGAAGGCGGCCATTTTTCAAAATGGCCGCCATTTTAATATATTTTACTATAACTCGAAAAGTAATGGAGCGATTTTGTTCATATTTGGTATGTGAATACTAAAAGCATGACACATTAACCTATGGCACTTTTAGTAGAAGGTGGCCATTTTGAAAATTTTTTTGAAAAATGGCCGCCATTTTAATGTATTTTATAATAACTCGAAAAGTAGTGGAGCGATTTTGTTCATATTTGGTATGTGAATACTATAAGGATGGCACACTGTCTAATGACACTTTTGGTAGAAGGCAGCCATTTTTCAAAATGGCCGCCATTTTAACGTATTTTACTATAACTCGAAAAGTAGTGGAGCGATTTTGTTCATATTTGGTAAGTGAATACTATAAGTATGGCAAATGGTCTAATGACACTTTTGGTAGAAGGCGGCCATTTTGAAAAATGCCTGCCATTTTTGCTCTATACTTTGTTTGTAAAAATGCCATCCATGGCTGTTTGATGGGATTCGCTAAGCTTTGGCGTTGCCGTTGTTCTGGTTTATTATTTATTCACAAGAAATTTTTTAAAACAATTATTTCTTTAAAAATGGACCCCTGCTTGAATCTCAAATAAATGATAAACGGTAATGTTGTGTGGTCCTCAACAAGCAATACCATATTCAGTGATATTAAATCTACCAATATAATCTATTAAAATGATTGGAACTTGAACAGGAGGTAATTTTTAAATTTTTGTCAATTCCTCTATCACTATATAATATATTTCCTGGCCACGAAACTGAGAGTAAAAGAAAGAAGTGTCCGATAATATGGTGTATTCAGCAAAAATATGGTAGATTTACTGTATATTTCAGCAAAAAGATGGTAGATTTTACGGTAGATTTCAGCAAAAATATGGTAGATTTTACAGCCATTTTCACAGGAGAATCAGATTTAAGAAAATTACAGTAGATTTTAGTAGAAAACTTTTATGGTAGATTCCTGCAAAATATGGTTGGCAGGTCTGGATATTGTCACAGTTTGCTCATTTAGCTGGCAACAAGTTTCTAGCAGTACCAGATGTTGGATTGGATTTTTACAGAAACATGAATGAATAAGTGCATGAATTTTTCTAGTAATATTCACCTGGAATAGCTGATCAGTTGTTGTTTGTAACAAATAAAAATAAAAGAGAAACTATTTTGTGTACTTTAATTGAAAAATTACTTCTCGTGTTAGCAATCAAATATGAATGGGAATTCATGACTTTTATGAAATTTTATGACCTTGTTTGTGATTAATTCTGCTGAATTCTGCTGCACAGGCATAATTCTACTGTACATGTAGATGAAAATACAAGATAATAATACTATATATAAATACTTGTTCTTTATATTAGATCTTTGCTTGTTTCCAGGTGTTCAAACATTTCAAAATGGCTCCAGGCTTCACTCCAGCATGATGCTTCCGCATACGTTCCTGACTTTTCAATGCTTATTCATGAAGTGACAGCAAACATGGAGAAATATTGTAACAGTAACCTGTGTTGACTATATTTTGATACATAGTAGATGCCTATACATACTATACTAGCATATTGTTGACTGATATAATTGATAAGCATTAATTGTATTTCCATAAGAAAAAGACCATTCTATGATATTCATCATGATTTTCACATTGATCAAAAAGTGACAAAATTTTGATCACCGCTTCGATCGCTGATCACAATTGCACTGTATGAAATGATGCCTCCAGATGCAGTTTATCTATGTTAATAATGTAACCACTAAACATCAATGGAGAAAGCTTGAGTCATTTGTTTGGAGAATGTGCACGGCTGCACTTATATGCCTGCGCATGGACCTGGAAATGGACTGGACTGGTATTTTTATTTCAATTTTTTCTTTACTTCTCTTGACTTTCTATAAGGCTATCATCAGATTGATTTTTCTCCCAATTTCAAAACGCCATAACTTCCAAACCAGAAGTCGAATTGAAATTTGGTTTGAAGATTCCTGAGAAAATTTACTCTTAATAACTCATAAATTAAATTTGGAGAACTTTTTATTTTGACCTACTTTTCGGACACCATATCTGAAAAGAGGGACGAAATATTTCTGACGGCAAAAGGCTAACACTATAAGCTCACTCTTTGCTACCTGTAGAAGTTTTGAAGCAAATCACTTAAAAATAGTGTCAGAATCGCAAAATAAGGAAAAACTATAAATTTGACCTAGATTCTGACCTGGACATTTTTGTGTCCAAATTTTGAAGCTTGGTGGTTTATGAGGTCCCCTTCCTTTAAAGGCTTTCATTATATTAAGCTGTACTCAGTTTATATCTCGTAATTTACACTTTAAAAAATCTTTTTTCCCATTGACTTAACACCAAATTTAGCGACTTTTGAGCTTTCAAAATCCCATAACTTCTGAACCGTAAGTAAGTTTGCAGATTCGGATTCCTGAGAAAATTCTACACTTATTTCATCAAAAAAAATTTTTTTCCATTGACCTAACATGGGGCACCAAAGAACGAATGGCTCTAGACACCCCTTGGGTCACTTAACATTTTTTGAAATATGCAGTGTCGTTAATATTCTTGATATGTAGGATCAAATTGTAGATAAATATGTATATTTTCAAGAAAAAAGCAATAAAAAACATTCAAGATTACTGATACTGTATAAGTATATTTTGGTTGATTTGGGAGGCATGTATCACTTCCTGTGGAAATGTGAATTTTTTATCAGTCTCAGAAAATGTCTCCATAATGTATAAACCCAACTTGGCAGATGTCCCATTGTTTGATTGTGTCACGTGACTCTATACACTCATTGGATTAATATTTTGTACATATAAATAGTCATATTTCAATAGTCATTGAGTAGGGATTAGTTATGTTTGCAAATTGTGTTGACCTACATGTACTTCTTTTTAGATAGAGGAAGGTCATGATAAACTCTTGCTTTGTTCATATAACGCTTGGTTCTTACCTAGAAAGTTATATGTAGTGAGGGAATAGTGTACTTCTAAGGTACTTCTTGAGATATGTAAAAATCTAGGTAAGGACCAGGCGTTGTACAAAAATGGAACTTTTATGCAATTTTCAGCATGAAATAAAATGATGTCAGCCATTTTGAAAATCCTTAGATTGATTGTGACAGTTGTGTTTTATATATTTCAGTATATTTTCATATTTCATATTATCATTTCATGAACTTATATTTATGCTTGCACTGAAGCATGACCTCTAGAGAAGCACATATTTTTACCATGGCTCTAAACAACATAATAATAGAGAGATTTCGCACCTAGTGAGGGTACAACTTATAACGTATACTTATACTTATAGGTAAACGTACAAGGTGTTTCATAATGTGGGCTTTTCATCAGGAAAGATCTTCTCGGACTGTAATAAATACAGGTCAAAGGGATGCCATTTGTACTTTCTTGAATTGTAGCATGTTTAGTTGATCCAAATGTGTTTGTCTAGAATAAAATAGGCTCATATATAGTACATATGTTATAGACCCATCTCTTCTCAAATTGACTTTTTGGAGATGCTCGTTATGCCTTGCGCAATTTAATTTTGTAGGAAGTCCTAACTTTATTTTCAAAAAGCTTTTGTCTCATAAAAATTCTTATGTAATTTTACATCTAGCAAAGTTCATTTATCATTCATTCAAAAAACTGGATTAATATTGTAACAATGATACATCACACTGATGTTTTAAATTCTGTCATGTTGTATCTGTATTTTACAATTATCTCATTTTTGTATTTTACATTTTGTGATGCTGTAATTGTATTTTACAACTTTGTATATTTCCTATGAAGTAGTTAGTTTAGTCTTAGTTTAATTTTGTATATTGTAGTTTGTAGTGACTAATATGTCATTGCAATGACAACAGAGAGTCAATAAAAGATATATATATATATGAAACACCCTGTATGTCATATGTTGAGCTACTGAATCGGTCGCTTCCAGGAATTGCTAGAACCTGGTTTGATTGGTGTTTCAAATTGATGGTTAAAGTATTTGATTGGATACTGTTCCCACTCAGCCAATTAATTTTAAAAAATGCTTGCGGTCAATTGTTCCACACACATGTCAGGCAAATCTTTATACGGAGATCCAACTGTATACGTTATATCTACGTAAATATACCGTTTTGTAAGTTCATTGAACTTATACTGATCATGAAAACATTGAAATAATCAACTTGTTTATGTAATGACTCACTTTAAAGAATCATGACTCCCTTTAAAGGATCGTGTTTATAATACAACTACAAGGACACGGAAGCAAGCATTTAATTATAATGTGTATAATCTACATGTGTATACGTATACGCGTATACGTATAAGTTGTACTTTCACTTATGTGCGAAATCTCTCTAATGTGTAATTCCTTACTATACATTCATATAAATGTACTTGCAAAATTGAGATGATTGTTGTACAATCATTTAATCTTCATGTGACCATATGGGCTCTCTGATAGAGCCCATGATGTGACAGGCGTCATTTTTGTCAATGAATATTTTTTATTATATTTCTTTGGCTGATCAAACCAATGGTCATATTTAGAAATCCAGCTCAACTTTATTGTGCAGAAGAAATATATTTTAAGTCACAATCAGTATCAACATTTGCTAATAAAATCCCCAGAGCATGTGAGTGAACTGCAATCACTCAGTACCCCCTATATGGAGACAGAGGGTTACATCTAAATTGTAGTGGACTCTTTTGAGGACTTCCCCATTCTGACTGAAATTGATGTATGTCAACTCACTTTTGGTGTATATCAAGCCAACCAATCTAAATGATGTACAGACGGCCATCTTCAAGTAGATGGGAAATATACCATCATTGTTAAGAAAAGAAACATGGCCTAATTTGTGTAAAAGCCCAGTAAGAGGTTTGTGTCCTCTAAATCTCACTAGCATGGGTGGAGTACAACCCAGATCCAGATGTATGTAATAGTATTGATGCAATCACTCTGGTGTTGTTCATGCCCAGTTGGGAGTAGGGCTGTAGGTTCATGTGCACACATTGATTGTGCTATTTTGTTCCTAGGCTGTGGTAGGCACAAGGGGTATAAAAGCAAAGGAAATGCACAAAGTTTGACATTTTAAAATCAAAAGATATGTCTGAAATGTTGTCATCTGAAGAAGATGATGATAGCTCATAGATAGCTCTATTATAAATGAACAAACACATGAATGTGCTCATCTATAGAAGTACAACAGTATTCTTCTCTGACATATTTTTGTAGACAGTTGATCTCAATGAGTATATTCAATATTTTTTTGCATTTTTGACTTGTTATATTTTACGTGTTTTCAAATGTTGCCCATTATGCTTTGTCTCTATTATGTAAGATAATACCAAAAGGATCAAGTAAAAAGTCTTGATTGACTGTAAATAATGATTATTTTGATAATAAATAGATACAGTGACAATAATGATGTGAAAAGAGTGATTTTTCCTTCAAAAAGTCATTTTATACATGTTAATAGAATGACCTATATTTTGAAATATAAAGATCACAATGACCTAATTTTGGGATCTGGTTATCAAACAAAGTCCCTTCTTTGATATCCTGTACAATTTCGTCACAATACTGTATCTTAAAGACATTTGTCCTTTAGCGATTTTTTAGCTTTCAAAACGCCATAACTTGGGAACCGGAAATCAGATTGAAATAATTTGGTTTGCAGATGTGGATTCCTGAGAAAATTTTACCCTTTATTCATAACTCATACGTTAAATCTGGAGAATTTTTTATTTTGACCTACTTTTGGACACCATATCTCAAAAGTGGGTCAAATTACTTTCTGACGGCAAAAGGCTAACTTTATAACCACACTCTTGGCTACATGTATACACAATTTCGAAGAATATAATTAAAGTGTAGTGTCAGAATCGCAAAAAAAGAGGAAAATCTTTGAATTTGACCTAGGCATTTTGGTGTCCAAATTTTGAAGCTGATGGCTTTTGAGGTACCCTTCTTTTAAAGGCTTTCTTATATTAAGCTGTACTCAGTCTATAGGCTTTGTATAAAAAACCTCCTACCCACGTACCCTCGTACCCACGTACGTGGGTCCTGACCCAGTCTTTAAAGAGTTAAATTTTTAAATGTTTAAAACATTATTCAATCTCAGTTTATCCTGAATTATAGATGAATTTATGCATCCATATGCCTTTATTTATAGGTCTGACATCTCTCTAGTAAAATAAAATAAAGCCGGAATTGCATAAATGTTCATTATTTTTGAGCTATTTGATTTATGTTTTTGATATGTCGAAATGTTTTTTGTTGATCGGGCAGTCTTACCTGTATAACACATCAGTGCTGATTAGCAATCTCCTAGCCTTCGTTCAGTGCAATCCGTGCCTCCTGTTACCTCATGCAGATTGTAAATGTCCCGGGAAGTTTACCCTTGTCCAAAAGTTGACATCTTTTTAAAAATATATTTCTTAGAGTTTCCAACCAATTAAATTCACCACATTTTATTAGATGTTTATTTCAAATGTTATTAGAATTCATTCTTACGAATATTATACGTTATTAACGTATGTTAGTCAAAGATTTGGTGTCTTTGTTGTCCATTGTATTCACGTTTTACGCGCAAAAAGCTAGAAACTACAAAGCTGAACTTATATCATTCAAACCAGTTTTACATCAAATCATTGTCAAAATAAAACTCTACTCTTCATATTACCTAATTATGGATCAAACGGCCATGAATAATGTCGAAGTTTACAAAACCAAACTTACACTCCCCTGCATAAGTTTGGCAACTCTAACTTTTAATTCCATCTAAATGATTCACTGAACTAGTGCGCACAATTATCCTTAAATTGTGCCAAAAAGCGATTAAAAACGAATATAGCGAATCCTTCTACTTTTCAAATATTTCGTTATTCAATTGCGCCACGGTTAAACAGAAATGCAGCCTTTATTATTCC